GCTGGTACAATAGGCCAGAAGTGGCCGCAGTACAAGGAACTTAGTCCCACCCCACTAGCAATAAAAATAATAGTATGGCTGTTAGGATTAGGTCAATTGTAAACCCAGTAACCTCACCGGGAATCGAACCTGTGACCTTCCGGCTTGTAGCATAGTGCCTGTATTTATATTAGTTAAACTGAATGACATGGCGCGTAAGGGAGTGGAGATATTGCTCCGCGCAGTCTTGACTTCGGCACTAGATGGAGGTGAAGGACCACGTTCACGCCTCGGCCGCTTTACCCCTGGGGATATAACTGGATATGTTAGGTATGAATACGTAGAAGGTTCCCTCGGAGACGAACTCAGTCAATTTCCTACGGTGATGTAGCGGCAAGACCGGGAGCCGTCATGCCAGTAGCTGGGGTTCATTTCCCCTCTACCTCTCATTCTCGTTCTTCATCACCTTTCTTTGCTTCGCATTTACTCAGTCTTTGTTTTCTGTCCTTAAGTTTAATTTAAAATACACAGAACTACTATATTTTGCCTGTAGTTTTGTATGCATGTGAAGCTTGGGCTCTGACACTAAAAGAACTTAGACTGGGGGTGTTTGGGAATAGGGTGCCGAGGGGGCGCTATTTGGGCCGAAGGAGGATGAAGTAACAGGAGGCAAGAAAAAAATTCGTAATGAGAAGCTTCATGATTTGCATTCCTAGCCAGATACTATCGGAATGTTCAAGTAAAAATGTATTAAATGGGCAAGGCATGTAGCAAGCATTCCGGACAGAGCTTTAGTAAGAGAAGGTAAGGATACAGAAATAGGTTTAGGTGGTATAGATGAGATTCTTCTGGCTCATGACAGGGACAAGTGGCGGGCTCTTGTGAACACGATAATGAAACTTCGGGCCGCATAAAATGCAGAGAATTTCTTGAGTGGTTAAGGAATTGGTGTATTCTAGAAGAGGGCTCTGCCTCATGCAGTTACTTAACGCTTTTGTTTTGTTCCTTTCCATTTCTTCCTTTCTTTTCTGTAGAGTTGCCTAGTTGCTTTATATCGGTAGGGTGCTTAGTGCTGAGCCCAGTAAACTGAAGCCCCTCTCCTCAGCACACTTTCCGGTTAAGAATTTCCAGTTGAAAATCCAAATTTGTGGTCCATTGGAAGTCTGATTCTGGTTGTGGAGTGCCTGTACATTACAGTCAGCCGGCGTGCGTGTGGGAGCCTGTCATTTGTCATTCCTACGAATTGCCCAGCAACAGCGGCAACTCGCGGAGCCAGCAATATGGCGACTAATTAATGCCACGCTTTGCCACGGGGACCGCAAGCTCACACGATCCAGTTGCATGTGGAGTCACATGCATTTTCAGGGAACCTTTGTTCCACGTACTGGTGGGGCTGGTACCCAAGTTCTTCCCATTCTCACGTAGAGAAAGCATGTTTCCACCTGTGTGAATATCTCCTATACACGTGTGTTATTCGAACCAGCTGACATTCCGAAGAATGGATAGTCCAATTTTATTTATACTTCCATGGTTTGTTTAACGACACTGTGACTCGGCCTATATATACTCCTATATCATAGAATTGTAGGGTGGTAAATGTAAATTTGGGCATGCACTGTCTTCGCTTGCTCGGAAGCCGGGATCGTGGGTTAGAATCCCACTCAGGGCATGGATGTTTGTGTGCGTTTTTCTGTGTTTGTGTACAGGTAGAGGCCTTGCGACGAGCTGATCATCCGCCCAAGGAGTCCTACCGTAAGTCTAAGATCTAGTAAACCGAAGTGAAATGGAGAGTTTCATGGCGGTAGGCCTAGCGTCAATGAAAAAAAAAGGGTAAGTTTGTTCTTGTGTTTAAGTAATTAAGCATTACGCTATGAAGACGTATGGGAGAGTGGATGTATAGATCCACGTTTTCTTGACCTCGGCACTAGTTGGAGGTGAGTGGTCAGCTATACGCTCCTGCCGTTTTATCCCTGGGAAAAGCCATTGTGTAGGAGGCTGGGTGGTCTCTCAGAGCCCGTCTGGACAACGAGATGAGAAGAGGAAACTCTTGACCCTTCTGCGACTGGAACCCCAGCACCTAGCCAGTCGCTATACCGACTGCGCTATCCTGGCTAACTGTAGGATGATCATGGGGTTGTTATTATTATTATTATTATTATTATTGGAGGGGGCGGGTTTCCCCATGCACCGCAACTAATAGTCTATTGTACGTCCCCCTTTGTTATTCCACCAGTCGCCATACCCTGCCGGTACTGGTGCTCATATCAGCCCCGTTCAGCCAGCGAAGCTGGCAGTGGTTCCCTATACTTCCTCATTTACCGGAGGCATTGGAAACTACTTGGGCGGGAAAACTTTTGCCAAATTTTGCTCAGAGGTCTCCTAGAGACATGAGGATCTTTTACGTGCCGTAAATCTACGACACGAGACCCACGACTTAAAGTTCCTCCCGGAGGACTTGTTCCCTGAATTTTTCCGCCCTTAAAAATTCCACGACCTCCGCCGGGTTTGAACCCGCGTACCTTGAGTCATGAGGTGGGAACGTTACCCCTAGACTACGGAGGCCGCTTTGATGATCAGGGGGGTTGCTGAATTGCAAGGGAAATAGAAGGAAGCGTTCAGAACTTCATTTGATCTATTGTCGAGGCCTTTTTTCTGCAGGGAATGATGAAATGCACGAAGGACGTCAGGATGTCTAACCGTTCCGGCCTCCTTTTCCCATTTCTCACTTTTTATATTTAACACCTTCACCTACCTTGTTCTTATTAATTGCTCTTTCACCTCGCCCGCACACGTTGGTCGCTCTCGCTGTTCTTTCTTGCGCTAAATCTCAGGGTTTTTTGATCTTTGGATTAATTTATTGAGGATGTGGGTTTTGTTGGTCCGGTAGAGCTTGAGTCCTCTTATCCCAGAGCCTTGACGGGCCACAACTCAAAGAATGAAGAAAGAACACATACTATCCAAGCACAATTAAAATCTATATTTAATTATGTTTCACACACTTTTAGTTGCTTATTGCTGATCCACTTCTGAATATAACTTCAAATCAGTACTTTATCTTAATCTGCGGCACACACACATAACAAGTTACAAAGAAGCGGTGAATGACTGACTGACACGAAGTTTGCGTCTGATTTCTTCCCGGGCCTGTGTGTGACTTCCCGACAACTGACTCCACTTAGGACTATGAAGCCCTGGTTTCATTAGGCCTCGGCTCTGTCACACCCTCAAAATTTAGTGATTGGCTAGGTTTAAAAATCTGGAGCATCCGAATTACGTATTCCGCCAATCTTTTTCCTCATTGCAAGGCTTCTTGGCATTCTGACTTCTAACGGTATCCTGTCAGAATTTGATAGATTGCGAAGCGTTGCTTGGGCTATTTAACATCTCGCTTTCCAAAGTTATAGCTTGTACCAGTAAAATTTTATTGCCTTAACTAAAAGATTTCTTGCAGTTACTTTTTCGCGTAATATTTCTAAAGGTTTACAAGCCTCTTCCTGGCCTATTGTTCATGTATGAGAAGGACGCTAACTCCTCTACATGTAAGAACAGACCTATGTCTCCATACTTGTTCTTTGCATTCAACAATCAAACACTAAATTAATAAATTAAATTACATTGAAATTACAAGTAGGCTTCTTGGCAGTGGAACGGTTACAGATGGTCGGTGTTCCGGCCTAGATTCGAACCGGGGAACTCCCGAATAGGTCTATGAGTCAGAAACGTTACTTACCGATTGAGCTAACTTGTTCGGTGAATCTTGGTATGAATGTTGCGCCACTGGGGCACCGTAACGGAGTACTTACCTTCCTGAGGTTAGCCCATGTTCGCATTAATGGGATCTACTTAATTACGCCGAATGAACACGGGAAAGCGTTTGTGTTTTGCGACCCTCTGAGTAACTGGACTACATAACTGTCGAGTTGTAGGGTAGTTGATGAATTGGAAAGGATTTGGAAGGAAACGGTGGTGGCCCGATAGACGTACTACCACTGCAGTTGCTTGATGGAACTGAGGAACATCGGGAAAACATCAGTCACGAGGTTCGAAAGGAGCACCTCCCTAATAAAAGCGTAAAGTTGTACGAGCGTGCTCGGTTTCAACAAAGATAAAGCAGGGAATGTGAAGGCTTACTTTGATGACACAATTAAATAAGACACGGTGAAGCAGAAAAAATTCTTCTTCTAATTTAGTTTTTAGCACTTGAAGCGTTAATTTTTGAACAGTAAATGGCTGATGTTGCCGGTCGCGGTAGCCGAGTGGTCTAAGGCATGCATTGTCTTCGCTCGCTCGGAAGCCGGGATCGTGGGTTCGAATCCCACTCAGGGCATGGCTATTTAGTGCGTGTATTTGTTTATTCTGTGTTTGTATTCTCCTGTGTGTAGGTAGAGGCTTTGCGACGAGCTGATCACTCGTCCAAGGAGTCTTACCGTTCGTGAAATGATCATGAAACCGAAAGCCAGGGCCCAAGGGGCTGTAGAGCCAGTGAAAGAAAAAAATGGCATGAACTGTTGATAGGCGTACGTCAAGGAATTCGATCTGTGTAATTTCAGATGAGCGTCATCGAATGTACGTTTAAGTCTGCTCTCTTATGAACGAGAATTTCTGGAAATTCCGAGAATGTCGGAATTCTGAGTTATTGCTGTTAAGAAGACGTAAGCTTCGCGAGTATCATTTTTCCATCAGAGTGTTGGGGTTCCCCTCCTGTGCTCATAATCCAAAGGGGGGAAACGATACAAAATGGGTTTCAAGAAGCTCTTCTAAATACGAATGTTTCATGAAATTTGCGATTGCTGACAACAAGAGTTTCCGAAAGTCACCTGCAGTCAACATGAGCCCACTCACACTATAACGAAATAATTATATGGGGGGGGAGGGGGGCGCATGGGTGGAGCTGGTGTCATCCCCCCCCAGGGGCCCACCTTTACGCAGAATGGGCTAATGGACGGACGAATCCAGTCTGCTTCTGACGGCCAATAGCATTGCGGAGGGCGGTTCTCCGTCGTCATGGTGAGGAGTGCGCGCGCTGAAACCATTCGTCACGTTTTTCTAACCTTGCATTGCCTTCTTGCTAGGATTTAGAAAAACAGCAGCGGTACGTTTGCTCCTTTTCGCTAGTGTAAATATTTACGTTTTCGCTCTTCTGAACACAAATATTAAGGCAACTGTAGCGTTAGTGCAATATTTTAGCATGGGACTTCATTACTTTCTCGTGTTGTGACAACAAGAAAAGGAAAACTTTTGCCCTGTTTTGTGCGATTGTGTGTCCAGGACAGTTGACTTGTTGACCGATTAATCCTGCATGACGGATCGGCTCTTGACGTGTGGCAGAATGGTGTCTCACCTCATGGTTGGAACGGTAAGCCGTTTGTTTTCACTTTCGCAATTGTTTCCGTTTCTCGACTCACAAGCTGTGATGATACTGAGTATTTACGAAGTTACTGCCACTGTATTTATTTATTTATTGTGCTTTATACTTTGTTTTATGTTGCCTACTGTGCAGCATTTCATAACAAATTGTTAACCCCACACCGAACCCCGCAAGCTGGACGAGCAGGCAATGTAGCACGCGCGGGGGAGAAGAAGGCTTTTGGTGGGAAAGCCACGAGGATGAGACGTGGACGTGTCAGGTGAAGTGGATGTTGGAGAAGTAGGGTCGGGCTGTAAGGACTGGATTAAACTGACTCGGGATAGGGACTCTTTGAGTAGCCGAGCAACTGATCACTCCCCGGAAGTACTCAGCTTCATGGCGCGAGATAATTACTACGCTGTTGTGCTGTAGCAGTTGAGGGTTCTGGTCGTGGTCACCACCGCGATATTTGCGTGGGGGAGTTAAAAACATACATGTTAAGCTGTTTTTAAGTTTATTTTTAATACCTTTCGTTTTTATGATAAATATTTGCTGTACTAGTTCACGCAAGTTTCGATTTCTTTCTAGAAAAGTCAGGGGGCAGACGGTGGGCTTGTCCCCCCGACGGCCCTCATTCGCCCAATTCTAATGTGTATGTTTGATTTTTACTTAAAGTATGTTGTACGGAATTTCAGGAGTTCGTTTTTGAATCCAGCTCACTTTAGGATTTTGCTGAAACTGACGAGTTTAAGGATCTTGTCTCGATCCATCCGCTTGCTGATGCGGCGTCAGAATTCGTTAGATCTCACGAGGCCGAGAGCTTTACTCGTGTGAGGCCGCAATTGTCTTACAGGATGCGGAATTTGAGTGCCAGGTTCAGCTGAAAGGCTGAACAGTATTGGCAAGGCTTTCGGAGCATGCAGATGCGACCAGCAGAACATTTCCCAGAATACATGTGGCTGTAAAGGAACATTTTGTAGCTTCCTGTGGGTGTAGCATGTCTACAAAGATATTTAGGTTCTTGTCCTCACTGTAAAAGTAAGTAAAGCTGTCCCTGTAACAGGCCGTGAAGGCCAATAGGGTTGTGAAACGTCGAGGCTCCCACATTTTCTTTAGACAATCTGCTCACAGATGGCGGTAAGGTTGTCATCCTTACGCGCCGGCCGTCCTTTACCCCCAAGAATATTCCTGGTACTCATTTCTATTAGAGCCTAAGTCGACCCCAGGGCCATAGTGCGGCTGGAATAGGTAAATTAAAAAAATCGAAATCTGAATTCGATTCTGCGACCTTCCGGCTTGTAGCATAGTGGTCCTCACTGCACACAATTGCAGATCTTGTGTATTGTTTTAAGTACCTTTGTTACACAGCGCTTAGTACTTACAGGAAGTACTTTAGCCTGGAATTGTAGGACGAATTGGAAATGAAGTGGCCGTAGCGTAATCGAGAGACTGAAGAAAACCAAGAAAATAAGCGGGTAAACAGGCCGAGATTCCAAACCTTGTCCCTCACGAAGACGAGGCTATCGCTATGCGAACCCAGCACGGCTTGTTCCGACAGGCTCTTGTTCTTTTTGCTACTGGAGGTTTAGACTGCGTTTGGATGAGTTTGTTGCCAGTGAAGCAGGCCAAATGCATGTTTCTCGAAATGTGAATTTTCAGAATTTTTGTAGGCCCGAATACACACACTGAAAGATAAGGTAAAGTTGTCCCTGTGCTCAACTAATTAATCAGTACGCTATGAAGACGTATGGATGAGTGGATGTATAGATCCACGTTTTCTTGACCTGTGCACTAGCTGGAGGTGAGTGACCAGCTTAACGCCCCGGCTGCTTTACTGCCGGGGATAGAGCCACCGGTACCCATTGGATAGGAGGTTGAGTGGATCTCAGAGCCAGTCTGGACAATGTGGAGAAGAGAAATTCTTGACTCTACCGGGTCTCGAACTCCGTCTCCTCGGTAGTCCATCCATAGCCAGTCCCAAATGGCAAATGTAGGGATATCAGAAGACGAATACAAGTGAATGCAAAAAAAAAAAAAAAATCTGATGACTGCGTAATGAGCGGAAACATGTAAGAAATAAATGTATGGTGTGTCCATGTGCCTGCTGCGTGACGCAACATGCACACCACAAGACAGTGGACATCCATTGGCGCTGTGATGTTGCTGGTCAAGTCAACACTGAAATTAAAATCACCCGAGACACAGGAATTAGAGGTGAGTGCGTGAAAACCACGGGGACACGCGAACTTTCCCTGCCGCTGTACGAGCCGATATTCACTGGGGTTCCAGTACATTACTGTCCGCGGGAGAGCTCTCGGTCTGTATCAGCAGCAGACGGGACCTTCACTGCGCACCGTTTTTCACCCTCTCCCCCGGCTCTTGAACTCAGTTGAAGAAAGTACAAGTATACTTTTCGTGAGGTTGTGGGAGGAGTTGACCGCCCCTGTGGTCTAGTGGTCAGAGTTCCTGGCTACAGATCCAGGGGTCCGGGTTCGATTCCCGGCGCTTTCAGATTTTTTCTGAGAAGTGGTGGGTCTGAAACGAGGTCCACTCAGACCCTGAGGATAACTGAGGCGGTATTTCAAAGAAATAGCGGCTCCGGTCTAGAAAACCGAGATTAACGACCGTAGGGATTCGTCGCGCTGACCACGCGACACCCTCTATCCGCTAAATTTGGCACTAACTTCGCCGACAAGCGGCAGTCGCTCGGTCGGTATAGTTCGCTTGCGGACTAAAACCAAGGAGTTTGTTTTTATTTGTTTGTGGGAGAAGTTTCACATGTTCGCTCCTGTGCACGTGGTCCTGTGTAGGGTCATGTTTCTCAGACAGTTGACACAGTAATTGTGTTTCGTGTGATTCTCAAAATAGGCGCGGCGTGTTTCCCGAAACGGCACTTACTGCGGTCACTTTGTAATGGAGACGAGGTGTGTTTCCTTTGAGGGAGGAACTGGCTATTTAAATAATAAAGACGCGTATCCGTCTTACTCGTGTAGTGCAGAAATCAGAATGTGCCCTGGACTTCGCATTTATTCAACTATTTTATTAGCCTGTAAATAAGTTGTAATTTGCCTTCTTTTGACTACCAGTGTGGACGGCAAGTTGTCTTGCTGATACATGCTGTTATCTGTGTAGCTCGTGAGTGTGAATGTACGAATGACGTAAAGAGCAAGTGACGGCGACACTTTGCCGAGTAGTCACCGCAGGAAGCTGTAAGAGATTAGCGGTTGACGGAGCAGCAACTGCCGTCAAACATCTCACAGCAACTCCCCCGTGTTTCTTGCGCCCCAGAGACTCCCAGACTGTGTGGTGCTGAGACCCCATCCTAAAATAATGCAGAAGTCTCCTCGTTCCAATTCTCCGGCTGCCAGCGAAAAGTGCAGTTCTGCACACTGCTGCAGGTCCCTGTCAGTCTGTACGGTGGCAGCATGGACCTAAATAGCTTTACGGCTTCTCTGTACCTACAATAATCTCTAAAATGTTCCTGTACAGTCACGGAAAGTGCAGTTCTGCACACTGTTGCAAGTTCCTGTCAGTCTGTACGGTGGCAGCAGGAGAATAAACAGCTGTACAGCCTCTCTACACCCACAGTAAACTATACAGTGTTCTTGTACAGTCATGAGAAGTGTAATTCTATATTGGGGCATTCAGTAGCGTATGTGGTTGAATCAAGATAGTACAAGCCTGAAGGTAACGGGTTCTTTTCCCGATAAAGTCATTGGATACTTAATTGACCTAATCCTTCTAGCCGCACAATGGAACTATGGTCGACTCGGCTACTAACAGAAATTAGTACCAGGAATCTTTAGTTGGTAAAGGGCAGCCATCGCGTAAGGCTGACAACCTAGCCGCCATCTGTGAGCCGACTGTCTAGAAAATGTGGGAGTCTCGATGTCACAACCCTATGGGCCTCCACGGCCTGATCAGGGCTACTGGCAGTGCCATTAAAGGAGTCACAAAAAGTTAGTTCATTCATTCGTTTTGTTACAATTTGGTATTGGGAGCGCTCGGTAAAATCGGCCGACCGGGGCAAAATGTTTTGATCACGTTTGTCTACTGTTTAGTCCGAGCAAGAAGAGCTCTTCATACAGCGCAGTTTTTTGGGATTCGTGTGCCGGCCCTGCCCTGCCCGGCCCTTACTGCGACGCAGTTGGTTGTTGCATTTATTTACAGGGATTTAGCGCTACAATTTGCCGGAACATGCGTCACAGTTCGTATATGGACGTTGTTTCCGGCACACCGATTGAGGGGCAGGTCCGGTGATGTGCCCTACCCGAGGCCCATACACACCTTGCTTTCATTTCAGTGGACGTGATGAGATCCGCTGTATGGTATGCCGATAACAGGCAGGTTTAGAAATAAGGACAGTAGAAGTCGCCCGCCGTCTGTACGACTCATTTGCACCGCTTTACCCGATCCCTTTGGGTGTACTGCCCACCGATACAGCGCCAGGTCCAATTCGCCGTGCAAATTGCTAAGTGAAATAAAAAAAGAAAGCAAAGTAAAGGTATTCCAGTAACAGGCCGTGGAGGCTCATAGGGTTGTGAGATGTTGAGGTTTCCACATTTCCTAGACAGTCGGCTCATAGATGGCGGTGAGTTCAGCCCTACTCGTCGGCCGCCCTTTACCGCCAAGAACATTCCAAGAATATTCCTGGTACTCATTTCTGTTAGAGGCTGAGTCGACCCCAGAGCCATAGTGTGGCTGGAAGGATTAGGTCAATTGAAAAATCCAATGACCTCATCAGGACTTGAAACCGCGATTTTCCGGCTGTTAGCATAGTGCCTCAACCCACTACGCTACCGCCTGCCCCTGCTAAGTGAAATATTCAGAGTAAAAGCTGATAAAAATAGAGAATTATAAATACAACATAGATTATAAATCTATGTGTATATGGCTCTAGAACCC